CTTCACATTGATTTTATGTATGCATAGCAGTTAAATAGAAATTTAGCACCAAAAAGGGTTAATTTTCAGGGCATTTGTGAACATTTTCAATGATCAAGGATGTGGAAAACAAATGATCGTTAATATTTGAAATGGCATAAAATTGCACCCAAAAAAAAGAAATATTGTTGCCAATGTGAGAAGGGAAAACTGATTAATTTAGAAAATGAGGGTGTTTCACGTATCATTCTCTTTCAAAAACAGAAGTAATAATGTAATTCATTAATTGATCCGCAGCCTTTTCTACTAAACAGATTTTTTATTCCTTTGGTCACTTTACAATTATCTCCATACGGTAATCACTCATTTAAATCTATTCAAGATAACCTTAAAGGGAAAGACCACCCGGTCATCAGGTAGACATGTTATCACAGCAGAGAGAAAAAAAAAAAAGAAACAGATCAGTGACAGTGTGAGAAGAAACAAAGTGAAAAGAATAAGTTACAATTTATGCTGACAATGTCAGACTACTCCTCGTCGTACAGGACAGGTAGTCAACCTTCATGTCACGCTTTATTTCAATAAATTGGCAAAATAAGTAAAATTCTATATCATAAATTGAGATTCATAGAACAAGTTTAACATGGAAGGGATTGCCCAGAATTACATTGTTGGGAGAAATAGATAAAACACTGACCAGCACAACAAGTAAAGGTCAATACAAAAGCAAAACACAATGTTGGTCAAGGTTTAAAAGAAATATTACTATCTAGATGGCACGACTTAAAGACATTTCTTGATTCATACTTAATTTCCTTCGGTAGCCTTCAAGTTTTCATAGCTGAAGACTCGATCCCAGCCGGATGGTTGATTATTAAATTAACGGTCACTTTATTTGATTCATGCACTAGAATCGCTGGAAGCTTAGATTCAATAAGATACTGACCAATAAGCAGATTAAACATACAATGTCTTATCTAATTGAGAAAATCAAGTTTTCCACTTTTGACTTTTAAATTACAGGCACTGTGCATTGACTCTTACACATTCAACTGTTCATGAACTACTCCTAACTTTCTGAAAGTGTTTGCTTCTCCATTTCTATCATTTACGTGTAATACAAGTCTTCAAAAGATCTTGAGCACCATTTATCATTTACACGCGTCTCTTTAAAAAAATAAAACAAACCAAAAACAAAAATACTTTCAAATGAAAACAAGCACAAATGTGAAAAGAGTTTATGCATAGGCACAGGACGATTACAGCAGGGTTGTCTGCTGTCAATACTGTAAACAAAAAACCAACAAAAAACATGTAATTTTACATGAATCCACATATAATTTGGGTCCTTTAAGCAACTGGAATGGTCCATCTTACTGTTCAACATTTATCACATCAAAAGAAAATCATCAATGGTCATTCACACTCCTCATAGGACCATGTCCTATTTCAAGCTTGAACCACATTTAGGTTTTATTGTTTTGCTGAGATGATTAAGAAGGGGATTAAGTCAAAATCAAAGACCTCTGAGCTTAAAGTTCATGCTTTCACTACCAAATAATGTACTGGTTTTGATTTGCCACATTTTTCATTTCTTTTCTGGGCCCCGTATCTCAAAGGTTTGCACAGGTAAAAGGTAACACAATTGCAAATTTGAAACGACGATTCTGATTCGTTGATTATCAGCCTTTGGAACAATATATGCATACCTATTATGTATAACTTAATATTTGGCTGTAATTCCTTCTCTTTCTATTTTTCTTAAGCGCTTAGAGACATATTTTGTGATAAGCGCTATACAAATGTTGTTAATTATTATTATTATTACAGCGACGATCTTGATTGGACAATGTCATTCTGCGATAGATTGCAAACCTTTTATGTGGAGGGACCCTGAAGTACAGCTACTGACTCGTTTTATATTTTTTAAACAGGGTGATGTAAGATGTCAAAAATCTGGAAGCACAAAATGTGATAACTTTTGCTGTGATGCTTACATGAACATACCCTTGGTTTATCGCATTGATAATCGGGCAATAAAAATACAAAGTAACCAGCAGTTATGACTATTTCTAACGATGATAGGCTATGCAAGATACAAGCTCAAGATATGAGTGTGTTGTTTACATGGAGTGTTTGAAAGTGAACAGAGATTCTCTATACGCAACTTGGCAATAGAGGAAGAAATTTCACAATCCACACCTTAGCTTGGGATTTTATCATTCATTACTTTTAATATACAGACTCGATGCAAATTATTTGAATTTATTTAATTATATCGAAGCATAGATCAAGGGAGTGTCGACTCGAGTGCACTATATGTTACTCAATCCCTTTGAAATCTCAATTGATTCTAAACAATATTTCAAATGTGAGTTGGATGTCATTATGATTGTCTTTCAAAATGCACTCTGTGCTTTTAATATATGCACATCTTCTGGTTATAGTTCGACTCTAAAGAGCCATGCACGTATATAGAATGATGTCCTATACATGTACGTCAATGAATTTCTAATGAATACCCATTAAAGTTTAGTATAGTACATTCTAACATGAACTCACAATATTTCTGTTGTACAAAAAATGTGAGTTTTCCTCTCTTTTTCTTTCTCGCACAATGGTATGTGAAATGGAACAGATAAAATACTCATAAGATGATGCATATAGTTCTGACATCTGTGTACAATATCATGGTAGAAACATGCTACACGGTACTTGTAAAAAATGTTATAAAAACAAAAGAAAATATGGCAGATGTATTTTTTTTCTTAAAAATTGCACTATTGGATGTAATATCACCATCATCACCTCCATCACCATCACCATCATCATCATCATCATCATTATCACAATCATCATCATCATTATCACAATCACCATCATCATCACAATCACCATCATCATTAACATTTCAACATCATCATCATCACCACCATTGTCATACAAAAAGACGTTATAGTATTCCTACAAACATGCAAAAAAGTTTCAGCTAAATATCATACAATCTGTTTGCTCTGCCACTCAATACATAAAGGAAATTCCTTAAAGCTTGTGTTTCACTGAAAGAAATTTCTTCAGTTGGCCTAGCTATGTACAAACTATGAAGGGTTCTCAAAATTCAGTAAACAACGTTTTGGGAATATAAAATAGCAATGTCTGCAAAAAATAATATTACAGCTACCCTTTCAATATTCCTTTCTGATATTTTCCCATGGCCGTTTTAGGATAAGTTTTGCTTGCAACCACGAATGTGAAGGACTCCACCGAGATTTTGATATTTAGTTCTCACCAGTTACCATATAATAAATTGACTGCTTTGAGGGGCATGGTTGGAAGGATTGCCCAAGGTGATATCGATGCTACACTGTGCTCCGAGGGGTATAATGCAGTATTGAGACCACAGAGGAGCTATAGTTTTAACCATGACCAGAAAGAAAAGCAGTCAATATTCATTTTACATGACCCATCCCATCCCACTTGTCTATCTTTAAAAAAAGAGATATTTGGACAAAATCTGCTAATCAAAGTGTATTCATTTCTGGAGTAGTCTCACTGCTCGTATATCCAATGTTGACGTCACGTGCAACCATTACATCCTTACATTGTACGAGCGAGTAGAACTATGCCCGGTCAATATTTTTTGCTATACTGCCCAGCAGCCAGTAGTGAATTTCAAGCCTGCAGTTTGGACCAATCAGAGACCTAGAATCTACATTTGCGGTATATAAATATCTTCTATTGCATAGCTGAATGTTGATGTGGCAAACTTCTTTATCCCTGACAGGCATAGAGATTATCTCATATGTATGGTAGAGGGGCAAGAACACAAAATTCTGTCATATTTTCAAATTTCAAATTTTTGTCATTGCAGGATAAATACATGACCTTTCACTAGACTTGGGTAGACTAATATCAAAGACAAAAATGATCATTCAGTATTATATAAGGCCCCAAAAAACACCTAAAACATGTGTAGCGTCCTGTCTCTTTTTTTTTTTAAAGAAGAAGGAGGCCCTTTTGTATTTCTTCTTCCAAATGACCCGCTTGGCACACTTTCAAAGAGGCTATTTTTTCAAGATGGCTGCCAGCATCATTTTAGCAGTATGTTTTTTCTTTTTTTGCATTAAAAAAGAAAGAAACAAAAGCAGGCGGCCTCAAAAAAGGAAGCGGACGGAGATGCTAAACATGATTTTTTTTTTTTGCCCAAAGAGAATGACTGGACCCCCCAAGTACAGGTTGAGATTCTTCTGGCCATCTAGGCTATCCAACCGAGATCTGAATCATTGCATTGAATCAAGCATATGATCCCAGAGGAGCAATCTCATCGAACAATCAGTCAGGATAGTAAGCTTTATAACTAAAAGGAAGTTACTTGCAATAATTGGGAAGGCGGAGAAACCTCAACATTGACTAAAGACTATACATTCCATCATGATCCCTTGCATTATGTAAACATATATACCTCTATATTTTCTGCTTTAAAAAAAAGATATCAACCTTCAGGAATATAAACTGGGAAATACATCTACAGATTTTGCATTATGAAACTGATATGAAACTGATATGGAATGAAATTGTATGATTGTGATACATATACTAGACAAGAGAGGTTGTATTACACAACAGTCCATTCATATACAGTCAAACCTGCTAAAGTGACCACCTGTCTACAAAGACCACATTTTTTGTATCCCTTGAAAATGGTTTCTCATTCAAACATGTACTGTAGGCCCCTGTCTACAAAGACCACCTGCCTGTAAAGACTACTTTTCTTGTCTCCCTTGGGTGGTCTTTATAGACAGGTTTCACTGTACATGCCTGTGTCTAGAAAATGGCTCGCCAAGATGTGTGTGTTAGTCTCTATGGCACTTCTGGCAAGAACTTTTAATCCATACACATCTCACATAGCATATTGATGTTGGTATCACATATATGCTTGACATGTTCAATGGTGAGATAAACTAAATCCACCATGTATGTGAACGATGAAAGTATCTAAGCCTATAATACTTTCCCAATCTAACTTATAAGTTTGCAAATTCACTCAAAGCTTTGGCAATGTAAACGATCATGGTTGTGTGGGATTGCTTTCGATTGGCTTACAGGAATCACGTGACCTGGATGAGACGACCTCGCTTGCTATTCTTCTAGGGGGAACAGATATCTTACAAGCCGACAAAAACTGGCATTGTAAAATGACAAGATTCGATGAAAAACGAAAAAAAGTTGATGAGGTGATAGCAAAGTTTCATCTTTGTCCCATCTAACCATGGGGTTAACAAGTGCCTACATTCTCTTCTTCAATACATGCAGTCCTTCATAATATCTATAGATGAACATCCTCTTCCTCCTCCTAAAAAACCCTCGTCGCACAGCACCGACGACGGCACATGCATTCTCCAACAACGTCCAGACACATCTAGCGCACTTGCGTCCGATATTCTACTCGAGACTTCATCTGGACAAGAAGACTCCGGGAGAAATTGTCCTGGCAGACCATTGTCGCCTGTCGTCATACATGAGTGATCTCCGTCACATCCCATTCGGATTCCGAGTCTGTCTCTGATATGTCACCTCCATCACTGTGTTCATGATCACTACTCGTACCCGATGATCGGTCATTGCTGTCCCCCGACGGTCTCCTTGGCTTCTCGTTCTCGACCCGTTTGAAGTAGCAGATAACCTGAGAAAAAGCAGAGATAAGTACATTCAGAATGTATAAAATATGATCTTAAGATGATATTTTTTCCTTCAATAATGAATTATAAAAAAAATGTAAATTTTGTAGATTTGTGACCATGATTTGTACGTCCCTTGAGAGACCAATGCCAGTAGATGGTGAGAGCAAACAGTGGCATGAACTGCTTGCCATAATTAAGTCCAACTTAGTCTTTGTGAAACACCCCCCTGGTCTCATTTTACATAAAACCTTACTAAGCTTAGTTGTCTACTATAGCCTACTTAGTTGTCTACGATCTACTATAGCCCATGTAATTAGTTGAAAACTATTTCATACTTTTCATTATCAAAAAGGGTCAACCTTTATATAAGGATTATGTTTCCTTTCAGGTTGCAGCTTATTCAGCTTATATTTATGTCCTTGTCCGATATGTATTAAAGTGTATCTTATGTAACATATCTGATTGTTATATGTAATGGTTTTTTCAACTGAATGAAATAAAATCAAATTAAACTAGCTTAGATAAAAATTTCATGAGTACGGGCCCTGGCAAATAAGAAGAAAACTGACAGAAAGGGCAAGTCCACTCCAAAAAAAACTTACTTTCAAAAGAAGCAGAAAAATCAGACAAACCAATCACAAAAAGTTAGAGCAAAATCTGATAACTAATAAGAAAGTTATGAATTTTTAATAACATGAAAAACTTTGAAAATCACAAGACAAATTGGCAACTCACTCATGAGTCTGTAAGTTCATTGCCACTTCCTTATTGGTTATCCAATTTTACTCAATTCTTTTTTGCTCTGTTTCTCTTGTTTTTCTGCATCTATTTAAAACAAATTATTTTTGAAGTGGACTTACCCTTTAAGCTAGTGCAAAGGAATAACCAGATTTATTATTACCTTGAAATTGGGGGAATACCACTTGTTCGTCTTATCTTTGTTTGCTCTATCTAACTGGTCCTTCTGTAACCTGAGGACGGTGCAGTCTGCGTCCAGAGCCTCCATGTTGTCTTCGCTGCAATGCGATGAGTTGTCTGATGATCCGTTGTTGGCAAGATCTTGCTGGCTACTTGAGTTGAGAAGGTTGGAGTTGGCCACAAAGAAGGTGTTGAACCAGAAGTGAAACATCCGATCCTGGTGGAGAAAGCAAAACAAATATTTAAAAAAAAAATTCAACCAGATTCATTATTATTATTATTATTATTAATTTGGCTTCACCTGTGTCTGGGAGGTGAAGAGCGAACTGAATAAATGCTACCCTCGGGTCTACCCTCCCGGTATAACCAATTGGGGTTGTGAAGGTGGACCACTACACCGGGGTAGAAATTCCTTTTATCTGGCCACGTGATTAAATGATCTGCATTTTGTACGATTATCACAAAGTATTTGGCTTCACCTGTGTCTGGGAGGGGAAAAGCAAACTGAATAAATGCTACCCTCAGGTTTACCCTCCTGGTATAACTGATTAGGGGTGTGCAGGTGGACCACTATACTAGGGTTTTCCCCTACTATTCATGTGACCTAATAGACCGGTCTACTGACATATTTCAATTTATGGATGTCTCTTTTCCGGGGACCTAGTAAAGAGGTGTTCCATTAACTTGTTATTGATGAATGAACTACAATACTTTACAATAAAATACTTGTTGTTGTTTTAGTTTACCTGTACTTGAGTCAGGAAAGTGATATGTTCGTGATTGTAATATGTACAGCGCCATGAGCCTCAGGGCCTGCCGGATACCGGCGTTATATAAATATCCATATTATCAATCCTGTCTGCATACAGTACTTTTTGTTATGTCGGGGAAAGCCTCGACCAAACTTTCAGGTTGTCAAGAACAACCTTTGTTTGAAAAGTATGCATAAAATTTGAATATGTTAGTAAAATGGTCTATTGCATACAGACATCTAGGAAAAAATAACTGCACTTACACAAACCAAGAAAAACAAAAGTGACAGTGACTGCAGTTACAATATCCTGATCAATAGCTTCAAACTGTGACGTCAATAATGGTATGACCAGGATATACTTCCATCCACGTCAAACCACATGCAATTTGACCTCATGGCGGAGGTATTTCATGTCACACAAGACTTCTTTGGCCAATTTCTTGCACAGGAATTTTAGATGTAGGATATTTAGAATGATACAGTCTCACAGAATCCAATGAAACTTACACTGAATTTTCAGGATAACAGATAAATGACATGTGCCAAACATTTGGTAGAAAATGTATACTGGTTGAGTAATGAGCATAGAAAGATAAGGAAATCCGGGAAGGTAGGCCTGACACCACAGGTCACTACGTGCAAATGGGAGTTGTGGTTTTTATCGTAGATGATGTCCAGTAAGTTTTTGCGGGTTTGTTTTTATTTCACTGGTTCAAGCAACCAATCTACTGCAGGATAAAGAATCCAGAATAAATCAAAGCAATTTTTCTCTCAAGATACGATTCCCATATCAGAGCTCAAGATTAGCTTTAACGTCTTACATTTAAGTTCATGTTGGCAAATTATAGGACCAACTTCTTCAGTATTCACAATTGTAGGCTTTTGGTAACACCATTAGGTACTGTCTGTAGCTATAAGGAAAAGCCTGTCAATATTTTCTGTTTGGTGCCAGAAGGGCGTTAACTCATATACATTAATACATAGTTAAGGCCTTTCTAGCTCCGAACAGACATTATTTTCTTTCGTCATAATCAAAACCCTGCTTATGTGACGTTGATAGGAATGAAGGGAAAGGGAAAGGGAAACAAAAAGACACTGGAATTAAGTACTTATGAAACACTTACACAAGACTATTTTTGTTTTTTGTTCTTTGTGTTTGTTCACCACAGATAAGGTGAAATGGAAGTAGGAAGGGAAGGAAAGGGAGGGAAGGGAAAAAGGGAAGGAAGGGAAAGAAAGGAAGGAAGGAAGGGAAAGGAAGGGAAAGGAAGGGAAAGAAAGGGAGGGAAGGGAAAAAAGGGAAAGAAGGGAAGGAAGGGAAAGAAAGGAAGGAAGGTGTGATTGAGATCAAGAAGGTTGAGAGCAGATACAAAAAGTTGAGGGTTAGTTCTGAAAAGCACCATTTGTATTCATCTGTGGAGTACTTTCGAAAGCCTCCCATCATGCATACTCAATCACCATTGAGACATACAGATAACAACTTCAATTTCTTTAAAATATCTAAGATCTTAAGATCTTAAGATGGCAAAACATGATTTACCTTGAGTTTATTTGGCTTGTTAAAGAAATCTTTATTGACGTCATGTGACCTACCATTTTGAGTTTGTTTGGCTTGCTAAAGCTCCACTGCACTACTTGTAGCTACTTGCCCCCTCTACACAGCAAACAATGCCTACTCGGTGACCATTGGTCCCCCATGATCCCCTTTTTCTAATGTTAATTCAGAGCTGAATTGATGAGATAATCACTTGTCAGTGACCTTGCAGGGAGGTCTAATCCCTCCTGGCCAAACTAGTGCAGACAGGCTTTAAAGAACTTTATTTTAATGCTACGTGACTTACCTTTTTGAGTTTATTTGGCTTGTTAAAGAACTCTATTTTGATGTCGCCGCAGATAGGCACAGGGAGCGGGAATTCACACCTCACGCTCCTCTCTTTTTTTGCCACCTAAAAATTAACAAATACATAAACAAAACCAAATAATTTTGGCTTCTGGGAGAAGGGGGGGGGGGGGTTTCTTCATTTACAGACATTTTTGTCATTAATGGTGCCAAAACAAACACACTGCTAACAGTCATTTAAGCAATGCTCGATTATAGTAATTGGTATCATGAATAAGGTAAGGGCAGGTCCAGCCGTCCTAAAAAAAAAAAAGAAGATAATTGATAATAATGATAATTAATAAACAAATATTTCTAAAGCGCTTAATAACAAAAAAGATCTCTAAGCGCTTTACAAACTTAACTAAAACTTAACATAATACAAATGCATATGACTCAAACTACAAGCGACGAGTACAAAATTATTTCAATAAATGAATACATACTCCATTAAAAATTAATTTACTTCTATTCCTACTTCTGCTCATGTATCCAATTACTGTTCGAAAGGGAAAAGGAAATTATCTTGATTATAACGTAAACAAAAAATTCAATGATTTTGGCTTCATGTCGTCGATGTCGAGTGCTAATATCCAAACTCTACATTGTGGCATGCATCCAATTAGAGTAATCATACTATCACGAGTGAAAAGAACACATAATACTCTCAAAAATCAATCTGTAATTGTTTACAGTTAGACAAATAGTTTTTAGTTCTAAGTACAGGTATTGCTTCTTCATAACTATGCTTTTGAGAAAGGCTTAATATTTCTCTTCCAATTTTGTAGATACAAACCACTTTTAAAGGGAGTTTATGAAACATTCACAAACTGAAATACCCTGTTTACAGTTTGTCTACAGAAGTCCTATTTTTGTACATGAAATCGACTGAAGCAATAATAATAATAATATATTACATTTATAAAGCGCTTAACACAATGTTTCTAAGCGCTTAACAAAAATACAGGGTAATGTTAACCTACAACAATATAATACATGATACATAATTCTAATAGGAATTTCCTAATAAAAATTATATAATAATAATAATAATTAACCTTTACATAGCACTTCATAATTTAAAGAACAAAATATAAACATATTGAACAGATAAGTTTTAAGTTTGCTTTAGAAGGTTTCTAAAGTTGGGGACTCGCATATTTCATGCATGGGGAAGTTTGTTCCAAAGTTGGGGGGGGGGGCAGAAAAGGCGCGATCGCCGAAGCGCGGGTGTGGGTGCAAGGGACCTGGGGCTAGATGAAGATGTGCTGTGGAATGGCATACATGATGAAATCTCTCTTTCTCCCTCATTCTGCTGATCTAACCCTTTTTTCTAGAGCTTTTGTATTCATTCATTTTTCTTTTCTATCTTTCTTTCTGTTTAGCCTTCTACTATTTTCATCCATTTTTCCTCACTTTTATTTTTTATTCCCCCCCCCCCCTAAATTCATAATTTCTTTGCTACACATTTTTTAATTTACTGATTTTCTAAGTATTCTTTGTTTTCAAGAAATATTGTAAAACAGCCTCTAAGGAGCTAATACTTCAACAAGCTCTGCTTCCAGTTAGTTTCTCTTTTCTCGTGCTATTACTATTAAATCTGTCGTTTGATTGTATATTGTTTTGTAATATACTTATTCATTGTATTATGTTTTGCATGAGAAATAAAATCATTTGAATCCTACCTCATATGGTTGCGATGAGAAGATCTTGACCTTTTGTTGATAGATGACGAAGGCGGGAGCGCAGGAGCCCCCGTTGAACATGGGCACCGTCTCGAGATCGATACGAGTCAGAAGAAGCGTCGTGGGCTTGTACTCCAGTTCCCTGACTATCAGATTGCCATAGTATTCAACGTACCGCCGTTGTGATGGGATCGTCACTCCCTGCAAAAAAAAATTATCATATCGCAACAGTTGGATATTATTTTTATCATTTTATTCGGCAAAACAAAGTGTATACAAAGCATTACATAAAAGAACAATCCTACAAAACAAAGGATAAAATCATTTTAAAAACATTATCGTGATTCCCATGAGCATTTACAAGTTGCCAGGAATGGTGCAGGCAAACTAAATCACCGAAACCGTGAAGGTCCCCCACTCGGACTTGCAGTACTTATTATTAGTTTTTTAAACCTGTAGTATGAATGGCAAGTGTGAATGAAAAAAGTATCTGTATACATATTTAGTATCTGTGTATTATAAGATAAAGAAATGTGAAGCACAAACTACACTTCTGTCGTCTAAACAAGTACTGCAGTTAACAACATCATACGTGAATGAGCCTAATAAAGGCATCGTTTAACAATGTTAAAGGTAAAGACCAGTATTGGAAACGCCCCAATTTCAAAAAAATGAAATGGAAGCTCTCATTACCAATCATGTGAAAGAATATGTTTAGACTAATACATGATTTTTAATCATAATTCATATATTTGGTAAATTTGTTTCTCTCATGGTCTTTCTGTGTATAGTGCTTGTAACTTTACGAAGAATGGGCCAAATTTCTTATCATTTTGATGATTCCAGAACCTTGCAGATGCTAGATGCTAGATGATCAACCTTTTCTGATCGATTCCACAACGTTTCTTTCACCATGCAATCGCATGACCATAACTGGTCTTTACCTTTAAATATGAGATGCATGGCCCTACTTGTTATCAGTGTCTGTAATATGGTGTGATAATTGAAGCCCTAAAAAAAAAAGTGCTTTAAAATGATCATGAAGTGCTTCAAAAAAAAAAAATCATTGAGTGACTGGTTTCACCATTCTCATTTTCCCCAATAGACTGTAGTGTTTTAAAAACTGTTGGGAAAATGTTTTTTGAAATTTTGAATTATAATCATAAATATCTTGATAATCAGACAAGCAATCGGCTTGTAAAAGTCATGGGATTCCTGACTGACCTAAAGGTTTATGATTATGAATGCAGCATGAGCTAAATCCAGGATTTTGTTTCAGAATCTGGGGCAATGTTACAGAGTCACTTTAAGAATGTGCGTTTCTTTTGTTTCTAAAAAGGGGGGCATGTTTTCTCATTCTGGGTGTATTGAGAATTAGATTCTTCAGGATTGGTAAAAGAGTGTAGCATAATCATGGCTCTCCTTCATGTTTAATTAATGTTTGACTGGTTTGATATTCATGTACCTCATTAAACATTGCCGGGCATCTCGACTGGCTTGAGGCATGAAACTCACATTAATCAATTAGTCTTTCACTTTCTATTCATCATAGAGTTGTAATTCATGACACTTTGTGTGAGGTACTAATCCACAAGTTCTAGATGTCTAGTGTCCCTTGGCTACACATTAAGCTTTAAAGTGACTCAGTAACATTGCCTCAGATTCTGAAACAAAATCCTAGATTTAGCTCATGCTGCAATCATAAATATAAACCTTTAGGTCATACATGAATCCCATGACTTTTACACACCAATCGCCTGTCTGATTATCAAGATATCTATGATTGGAAATCGAAATTTCATTTTTCATTTTACTAATAGTTTTTATAACACTAGAGTAAAGTAGCCCGTTTTCGGCCACTTAAGACAAAATCCTATTTTTAGGACTCTTTACTTCCTATTTATTATCATTTCTTGTTCAAATCATGAAGCAAATATTATTATTATTTACACAAAAAAAGAATCCCAGAAAAAAATCACGAATTGCCATGACAATATCCATTTCAATTTTCACTGTTTTGGAGCCCGTTATCGGCCGAGCGTTTCAGTTTACGGCCGCATGTACAAAGTCAATAGGAAGCGCTCGCGCGCGCCGTGCGTTTCCGCGCTTATGTACAGCACAAGCGGGCGGAGCAGGTATCCCACGCCGGAGCTCCCTGGTGCTCGCCTGGCCGAAGACGGGCACAGCGGTGATCGGAAGTTGGAATCTGAATTAGATAGAGATATCGTGTGTGCGTCGCGGTGTGCGGCTGCATTGATTTAATACATGCGATGACATACTTTTGAGCTTGCGACTAGCATAAAATCGGGCTTTAAATCTGAAAAATACTTGAAATAAAGCTCATTTTATGGTACCCATATTTCTTACAGACACGCGTAAGATACTCGATTTTTCAGATTTGGGTAGCGGGACCGGCGATTACATCGCTAAAATGTGATATTTTAGGATATATTTTCCATTGCAAATGTGGTTCTTCAGTGACACTGGCATGGTATGGTATGTGTGGGATATGTGTTATGCTATTATGCGATGTATTTTAGAGTGATTTTACCTTGTATCCAACCAATCGGCCGAAAACGGGAGCTGGCCGATTACGGGCTCCTTTACTCTACAGTCTATTGGGGAAAATGAGTAAGGTAAAACTGGTCACTCAAAGATTTTTTACTTTTTTTGAGGCAATTCATCTTTTTGAAGCGCTTTTTTTTTAGGGCTTCCATAGTACACCATATCACAGAAACTGAGCCATGCATCACAGATTTAAGGATGCCTTTAACAGCATTACAAGTAGTAGAATTGTTAATTGAGTTGAGAGTTAGGTACCTTTCTGTTCTTTGTCCGTTTGGATGCGTAGAAATCTAATGCCTCACTTGCCGTCTGGTATAACCTTCTATGTAACATGTATGCACAGATCATTACACCCGTCCGTCCCTGTCAAGGAAAAAAAATGCAATACACATTATCTCCCTGTTCCGCCTTGTATTATAATGCGATAGATTATACATGTACCACAGACATCAAGACGATTTAAAGGGCAAGATAATTTAAAGGGCAAGTTAATTTAAAGGGCAAGTTAATTTAAAAGGCAATCCAACCCTTGTAATGAATTGGTTTGTATGAAAGAAAAACAACATAAACAGAATGGCAAAGACCGTATCTGATGAAATTACAACTTGATATAAATGCAAAACTGATTGAATGTAGAATACAAATATAAAGGAATAACAGGTATTTACCCATTTATTACTGCACAAAAGCAAATAAAAACCTCATTTTCCACACCCCTCCAAATTACGGGTCAAATTTGCCAAAGTTACAGTGTCTGCATAACTTGCGGACCCGACTGGATCACCTATATAGGTGAGGCGATGGGCCGTGCTTAATTAATGCAAAGTCATTGTGAATATGCGTACTCCACAGAAGATGATGTCATCAAGTCGATAGCAAGTTTTAGGTCAACAACTTCCGATTTTCAAAGCTTTAGATTTTGAATTTTCAGAGAGCTAATACTCGAGAGAACTTGAGAATGGCACAACATATTGCATTGAAAATAGCCTCAAAATTATCTTTGATTTTTCAATCTTTCTGCTCATGCGTTAAGTGTAATTCCTAGCATTTTGGACCCCGCAACAAATGTTAAAAACGTAGCTAAAAGGAGTCACTGTAGTGACTGTACTGCTATGGGTTAAAGCCCCTCTGCACTAGTTTGGTATTAAGGGATTAGACCTCCCTGCAAGGTCACTGACAGGTGGTTATCTCATCAAATCAGCGCTCAATTAACATAAGAAAAAAGGCATCATGGGGGATCAACGGGTACCACTTAGGCATTGTTGGTTGTAGAGAGGGCGCAAGTAGCTACAAGTAGGGCAGTGGGGCTTCAACATATAAATCAAAGATGCTAAAGAATATTCTCGTAACTTGTGGCCTTCCCCTCTAGACATTATTCACCATACTACCGTGTGTATGATGTACTACAGGTGTTTTAAAAAGTAGAATACTGAACATGCACATGTAATTAATATTATAAATGATCAAACAGTTGAAGTATGAGAGCAGAGAACAATTGAACAATATGAAACTGATACTCCACACATTTATCGTTTGATAGTTCAAACCTATCACATGTGGCACATTCAAAGTAAGACAGGCTTTCACTGTTCACAGCAATTCAATGGGATTATGTATTTAAAGTTGACAAAATGTCAGATGTTGGAAGCAGGAAAACAAGAACTGTTCAACTACATGTAGCAACACACCAGAATTAAATAAGATGACACAAACTCTCAAATTCACTCCTTATTTCAATTACATTTTCATGTTTTATGTTGAATTTTGATTGTCCTGGTTTGAAAATCAGCTAGGGTTGAATTCTGATTGTACAGAGTTGAACATCAGCTACAGGTTAATATTCCTTCTCAACCAAAATATTATTTGTGAAATATTAGTCATAAAATTTGTTTAAAAATGCTTCAAATATGAATCAGATTTCATCAGAGTGCACTTAAGAGTCCTTAAAGAGAAAGTCCACCCTGATATAAAGTTGGTTTTAACCCAATAGCAACTAAACCGCCCGAAACCGCCCTTCCTTGTACTCACTGAACCCCTCGAAACCGCCCTTCCATTTTCAACGCGCTATAGTATCCATTCTAGGGTCTACCATTTTAATGTTATATGTGCGTAATCCTTACAATGTCTACAGTAGGTGTCTGCATAGAAAAAATAGTGCATGTTTCATATTGTTCAGAAAAAATGTCAAAATGAGAGCAATATTGAAACATCTTCCAGTGAGTAATAGGCTATTTTTACAAAATCTCTAGTTGTTAATGGGTTAATAGAAGCAATTCTATACATACCTTGCCGGCTTTACAGTGTATTGCGGCCACGTTCTGGCCGTCCGCCCCGAGCCAGTTGTCTAGATCTTCACAAAACGGTTTGATCAGTTCTAATCTGGGAGGGTTGTGATCATCAAAAGGATAATGTGCAACTCGGTTGTAGAACTTGGTGGTGTCATAGTTCCTCTCGCTACACCTGGAGGTAACAAAACACACAGACTATCTGAGATGGTGTATCGTCGAAAGAAAACAATAAGAATGTATTAAATACAGTTTACAACTAAATTATACATACCCCTTGAAAATTTGATGTTTTTGTGTTCTTCATAACTCAAGAATGAAAGGAGGACTGGTTGAACTAGGGCCTTTGTTGAATACTTTTAGATGTATGCTTTGATACGTCACATTCTCCAGAAAACATAAATCGGGTCAAATCAATTTTCACATACTTCATAATTTACAAAACTTGGTAAGGGTATGAATAATTTAGTTATTAACTGTACATGTAAAGGGCTTGCTTACAATACACATGGTCAATTCCAAGCGATACTGAATGACTTTTCCACAGAATTTTTCAATTTCGAATAAAGAATATCATCTAAGACATTACAATAAAATCTTACAAATGAAGGATATGATAATACAATGTATTAACTGATTTGAGGTACATTACACCAAGTTTATTATTAGCATATGACATCATTAAAAAAGAAACCCTCTGTTGCCTGGCTTCCTTAAATTGAAGGAAGTCGGGCAAACAAGGCAGGTTCTTCTAATCTGTTTCATCTATTTCTGTATTACATGTGCATCAGAATGACAAGGAAACCATACACCAATGATTCAGTGAAAAAAATACACGGGGGCTCGGGGCGATTTTAGCCCCCGAAATGCCCAAAAGAGCCTCCGAAAATCAGAAAAGAGCCCCATAAATTGACGAAGAGTTCAGAATGTTATTTTCAGGCAGGCAGGCAAGCTTGAAAAGTAGCCCCCAAAAAATAAATATTAATTTTTTTCCCTGCAATGATTTCTCTAACCGCCTGATACTTACAAGTTATACACCTTGTACCTCTCTCCATGCTTCTCATTGAAAAATCTGTATAGAAAGTTGAGTACGAAAATACACTTTAATAATAAAAATAAGAACGGTGCTTATACAGCGGTTACCACCGAAGTCTCTACGCACTATAACAAACAAAATGCAATGATAAATAATTAGACTTTGTCTGGTATACAACATGGACTATGATTTAAACAGTCAGGACAGGAACATTTTATACAGTATACATGAACAGAAATCATTATAATAAATTGAAACGAAGATCAAATTAAAGATAAACTTTAGTACTGGTAATGCGATTGCATTGTGAAAGAAAAGGTGTGGAAAGGATCAGAAACAGTTGATCATGTAGCATGTAAGTATTGGTGTGCACTGCAAGGTTCTGGAGTCATCAAAATCATAATAAATTTGACCGAGTCTTGGTAAAGTAACAAGCGCTGTACACGGAAAGCTATATATGGGACAACACACATGGTGTCGGGGCTGGTACTACCTTGATTTCCTTGTCTTTCTATGCTCATTACTCAGCCAGTATACATTTTCTTCCAAAATTGTTTGGCACATGTCATTTATTTGTAATCTTGAACATTCAGTGTAAGTTTCGTTTGATTCTGTGAGAATTAATTTTCTTTTTTTTACCAGAACTCAAGTTTATCTTTAATCTGATTTCATTGATCATTTTGTCCCCCGAAAAAGCTGGCCTTTAACAAAAAAATGCAACTACACAGAAATAAAAGTAACTGTGATGTCACAACCCTACATGTGCAGTACATGTAACCCGTAAACATAATTTTGTTTCTGAGTAGATTTACCTGATATCATAATTTGAATAGAAAATACTTAATCCCTTCAGTAACTAATGATCTTGTCCATATGTACATATATAATAATGATAGTAATAATAAAACAAAGCTTATGAGGCGCTTTCTACTGAAGTCCCTAAGTCTTTATGGCCTGAATTCACAAGTGAGGTTTAAATTGAACCCATGGTTTAAAATTAGCGCAAATTAAGTGACCTTGCCTTGCGCGCTTGCGTCTATTACTGGATCTCTGACTGTGTCGCACTTATTTTGCTCTAATTTTAGACCATGGGTTAAAAGTAATTAGAAGATTTAAACCATGGGTTAAATTTAAACCTCCTTTGTGAATTCAGGCCCATGTGATTGGCTGAGGTTTCATACTGTCTGCGTCCTTTAAATAGGGAGTGTGAATGAACTGGTTGAATCACAGAGACTGTGATCGAAAGTGAAACGTTAATAAGTGTAAGGTTACTTTAACAAGTATGCCTATAACACCTCTATGACATCAAACCCTTGAAACATCTCTATGCAAGGGCTTTATACACAATGGGACTACATTTACTGTACAACATCAAATGTGCAGTCATGACAGAGCATAAAAATGCACTACACTTAAATTGATTACGTGAATGAGCTTCCATGTTTTATTCGTTTATCACCTTCACTGGATGTCTTCCGAATTTGTCTCAAAACTCTCCTCTTTGACCATGATCAACAATAGATTCTTCAACAATTTTTATGTAAAGCGCTGTGAAACAACAGTTAGTTTGAAAGAGCGCTATAGAAATGACTTTACTTTATTGTTTTACATGACTTTATTTTTCATTTTTCAGTAGGTAAAATCCAAAATACGATATCCAAAATATAACATGTGAATGCACACTAGTGACAATAGCACCTATATGTAAGCTCCTACGTGTCACCTAACAAAAATTTTGTATGACAACAAAATGCATTGGATATATTCCTGCCATGTTGAAGATACTGTAGGCCTGGCTTCATCAGCTTGAGTTTGTCAAATAACCTGCTATTTTCAGACTCAGGATATTATCCCTAAGCTCAAAATTGCGTCTTCACCAGATCGATACGTTCATCCCAAACTAGCTCGGACGGGGCGCAAATTAGCCTGTTATTTCCCAAATAGCGGGATATTTTGAATACAAGACAAAATTTCCCCGCTAATTGCAACGGCGGGCTGATTAAGATGCAAATTAACTGGTTAAAATAGTGGGTTATTTGGCAAACTCGAGCTGATAATGACAGGCCTAATGTTAGGTAGATACTCACTTGACCACAACTTCCAGTTTGTTCCTGTAGACCCCTTCTAGCGACTCGGCAGGGAAACCCATGGCTATAATGTTTGGATAGATGTCTGCGATAACATTCATAGTTAAGGTAAATACAAATCATACTCAATGTAACAAAATTGAACAAAAATAGAGATACAATATCAGGGAGTTCTTCTAAGAGTACTCATCAAGTTATACTAGATACAGTCAACTCTGCTTTAGTGACCACCTGTCTATAAAGACAACCTGTCTACAAAGACCACATTTTGTATCCCTTGAAATAGTAGCTCATTGAAACATGTACTATAGGAATCCACCCTTAGGTGGTCTTTATAGACAGGTTTGACTGTTTGTTTATATGCGAGCCTTCGGATTTCAAACTTTGGTACAAAGAGAACGGAACGGTTTACCAACACATTCACATTATATGCATACTGTTCAAAGAAAGGTTGTTCTTAACAACCTGCAAGCTTGCCCGAGGATTACCTGATATAGCAAAAAGTAATGTATGCAGACTGGATTCCAAGTATTGTAGTTCATCGATTAATAACAGGGTTAGCACTATGAATATGACTGACAAAGAAAGCCGACAAAATATACAGTTCCTCAGGTAGACAAAGGAACATCCCTTCACTGCTATTATGTAAAAATGTTTAGAACAGGTGTCACATGCATATTCACCTTCAAGTTCAAGTTCAAATAAGGTTTTATTCATTACTTGTCAACAAGTCCGAAGACTAAAAATGCAAGTTTACATCAATATAAAAAGCATTCAAAAAAACATAAAGATAACATAGCAAATGAGGACAAATATATAACAATGAATACATTTTTAAATCAAAACATTAAAGTAGTAACAAGAAAACAAAACAACAACAAAAGATTTTTTTTTAAATACAAGATATGAAATATTGCTAGCAAAAATGAATAAATGTTTACATATAAACAAACACCTTTTTACATAATAGCAGTGAAGGGATGTTCCTTTGTCTACCTGAGGAACTGTATATTTTGTCCGCTTTCTTTGTCTGTCATATTCATAGTGAATGGAATGCCTAGTCACTAGGTCTCCAGGAAAAGAAACACCCATAAATTTGAATTTGTTAGTAAACAGGTTGATTCTTATTTTAAAAAGTGCACTTGGCAAAATCGTGAAGAAGCAGGAAAGACTAAAAACAGCATTTAATACAGGCTGAATAGAACACTGGCAATCTACATGTACAGGTAGGATCCCAAGTCCTTCATGCACATGTACAGGTAGGATGTCTCAAGGCTACATTCTCTCACAGTGAAAAAAATACACGGGGGCTCGGGGCGAATTAGCCCCCGAAATGCCCAAAAGAGCCCCCGAAAACCAGAAAAGAGCCCCCATAAATTTGCATAGAGTTCAATGCAAAACAAATTTTAGAATGTTATATTCATGCAGGCAAGCTTGAAAAGTAGCCCCCGAAAAATAAATATTAATTTTTTCCCTGTTCTCTCAAACATTTAATCATCAGACATGTAGGCATCTAGACAGTGTTTAAAGAAAAACCAGAGCTTCCTTTGTAATTGCTGTTTTTAATGTAATGTACGTGTAAATACAAGTGTGGATGTAAGGGCACTGTCCCAAAAATAAAAAAGACTAACACAATTCTAAATGTGATCTTCAGAACAATTTGGCAACACGGCAAGCACAGTCATCTGTCTATTACCTGGGAAATAAGGCAATATTAGTAAGTGGCTAGTGCTCTGTGAGTCACATGTGAAGTGACCTAGCTCGTACAAGCCGATGACGTAACACATGTAAACTGCACGCAAGAAGCGGTGTAGTCTCATAGCACAGACCAAGTTTGCAGGCACAGACCCTTGTCACTTGTCAGTCACTGTGCATAACAGTGTCTGCACTGTAAGACTAGACTGAAAGCATACTACATAGGCTCTGTACTTTAGCTGCTCTTATTTGATGAAGCCGGAGACTGAGAGAGCTAGGCTCTGTTCAAGGCTGGATGAATTGGTGTAAAAGTGCAAAAATAGAGTCATGCCTGCAGACTAGCATACTAACATGTACACATGAATGCATTTACATACCATTGTACATGAATGTACAATGAGGCTTATTATGGCCTTGTTTCATCAGAGTAGCTCCGAGTCTAATCATGCTAAAAAAAGGTAGCCCCAAATCTGGTGCAAAAATCAGAACCTTAATTCACCCTTGAGCACGGTATGAAAAATTGACCCTGACCAGGTTCATGAGTAGGATTTACCAAACAAAAGGGTATTGTAATGCTCTTCATGTAAACAAACAAATGAATTCCTGTGGTTTATTGTCACCATAGATACATGTACTACAGTACATATACACCGTACACAAAGATTCTGACTTCTGTCAATTTAGGCATTTATTAGTTGGAACATGTCCGCCAACTGTGATCGTGATAAATACTAGTTATGAATAATGCACTGATAAGCAAATTTCAGAGGTAATTAAAACTTTGAGTCAAGTGCAATTATACATGCAGTGGTTGTGACGTTCAAGTGAAATATGTAAACAAATGTAAACATGCTCAATTGAGGCTTTGGTTGCAATGCATTGTACTTTACTAATAAAGACCATTATTGAATTGAATGAAATGAATAGACCAGTTCAAGGTTAGCACATTACTGCAATGACCCCGAATATCCACAGATCTTAAAAACGTGAAGAGGTTCCACTTTTTACATTTTGAAATAATCACTCCTACAGCGATGGAGGTGCTATGTAAATAGCCTTTGTTTCCCCTTTTCAAAGAATACTTCCACCTGTGTATCATGGAGTGCACTGAATGTGCATGAATGAATAATGTTACATAACTTTCATGAGCACGTATCCAGTATTTCGTCTCCGTGTATTTCAAAATTTGTTCTGCAATGACCTTATCTGCTCATCCTCAGACTGCAACCGTGAACTGGCTTATTGAATTGACTGAAATAAAATGAGCTGAATTTCAAAAAGCTGAAAATACAGAATGGAACTTTAATTTTTTCTTTATAATTTATTTGCACACATTTTATATTTTTGTTGTTGTGGTTGTTGTAACTGAAAAGACACATTAAGACACAACCTGGTGTGCTCTAGTACGCCAGGATTACGTCTGAATGCATCTTTTCAGTAAACTATCCATGTTGACATTTGACCAGATAAAAAAATAGTTTTTTTCACAGATTACACTAAAATGACTTGGGTCAATACACGTACATATAGCTAGCACAAGTTGCAGCAGCGAAACGCTACTTTCTTCTCCACCGTCATCGGAACAACTTCCCCAATCAGAGTTCGAGGCCTATTTTGAAATCTTGGACTAATGAAAATGCACCTGTACAGTCAACATCTCAATCAACACACATGTCTGGACATGCTTGCTTGATACACTATCATGTGAGCATTGTGATTGGCCTTTCCTGGTGTACGTCTGAGCAATCACATGACCAAGGAATTGACGTGACCACAACCAGCTTTCAAGCTCTGAAGTAAAGTCCACATTAATGTTCCAGGGGGGTGTTTCACAAAGACTAAGATCAACTTTAAGTTGGACTTAACTATGACAGACAGGCCTTAATGCCACTGATTGCTCTCACCATTATGATCTTTAGATAATATTTTTTTCTTCAATAATCAATTATCAAAAAATGTAAATTCTGTAGATTGGTACGTCCCTTGAGAAACCAATGCCAGTGAATGATGAAAGAAAATATTGGCATGAACAGACTGCCATAGTTAAGTCCAACTTAAAGTCGATCTTTGTCTTTGTGAAACACCCACCTACGTGTCTGAGCAATCATGTGACCAAGGATCGACGTGACCACAACCAGCTTTTAAGCTGTGAAGTAAAGTCCACTCCACATTAATGTTCCATTTTCTCTACAGATTTAAAGATAAAGTTGAGTTCTCTGGTCAAACGTTGCATTGTGAAAGAAACGTTGTGGAATCGATCAGAAGAGGTTGTCAACTAGCATTTAAGTATTGGTGTGTACTGCAAGGTTCTGGAATCATATCAAAATGATAAGAAATTTGGCCCAGTCTTGGTAAACTTACTGTACATAGAAAGATGTATATGGGACTATACGAACATGTGGCATAAAAATCTGTCCCAATTTTTATGATGTTACATGCCATATTTAGAATATTACGGCATTTGAAGAGCCATGCTTTTAAGGGAACATTTTTTATCTGATGTTCTTCCACACTTGCATAATAGAATGATAACGCTCACAAATAATTGTTCACCTCTTCCCAGAACTCAACCTTCTCTTTAAGCACTGAAGTAAAGTCCACATTAATGTTTAGGATATTCACTACAGATTTAAAGCTTGTTTACACAGTGACTAAATTTGTTCTCAAGTTCTATGACACACTAGTTGTGGCAGACTTGGCAATTTTATGATTGTGTGTAATGAAAGTGGATCAGTGTCATCAAACTTTCAAAGAGCTGGATCAAACAATCTTTTTTGTTCCGCTCTCCAAGAATCGTAGGTTTCAAACCACAAAGTTGGCACAAATCATGTGTCACACACCGTTCCAAAACTACCTTATATACAAAATTTCTTACTACAGTCAAACCTGCTTTAGTGACCACCTGTCTACAACAAGCACATTTTTTTATTTCCCTTGAAAATGGTTTCTCATTGAAACATGTACAGTACAAGGAACCTGTCTACAAAGACCACTTTTTGTGTTTCCCTTGGGCAGTTGCTGTAGACCGGTTTGACTGTATCACACCATCATTGATCTATGTTATTTGTATATTATGAATTGATTTATTTTTCAATAGTTTAAAAAAGCAGGTACATTTAGCCTAAAAGAAAAAGGAGCATTTAACCGTGAGTGTTACAGATGAAGTTCTTTCTATTTTCCTTTACAAGTTTACAGACCCCCCCCCCCCCCCCCCCAATATCACACAAAGGAACATTGAATAAAAAGGGAGCAAACAAGATGAATAATTAAGGTTTATGAGTTAGTCATGCAGGCAGGTAATAGCCTCATTTCCACTCCAATTTAATTTATTTGTGATGATTTTACTGTTATATCCTGAACCCTGGACTCGTACGGAATAACCATACTTAG